AGTTGCTTGGAATTTAGGGGCAAGAGCAAGAGAGCAAGGGTGGTGCAAAGTTGAGAGCACTCTCCCCCCACCAATGTGGCCCAGGTTCGAATCCTGGCATTGACACCATATGTGGGTTGAGTTTGCTGTTGGTTTTCTCCCTTGCTCCAAGAGGTTTTTCTCCTGGTACTTCTGTTTTCCCCTCTCCTTAAAAAACAACACTTCCAAATTTCAATTCAATCTGGAATGCACAGACACGGTTTCAATGAGTTCTATGTAACTCCTAAGTGTATGTGCTCCAAGGGTAAACAGAAAAAAAACAAGCATACAAATTACGATGACAATTTCTTTGTTGAATAATACTGGCACAGCTTCTTCATTCTTGCCAAAATAAAAAACTGATGGATATTACAATGAGCAAACTGAAGTGGGATCAGATGCGTGACACCAACAGTCAACTTCTGTACATACATACAAATCCAACCGATTGTTTTTCTGCTTAAGCCTGTTACAATATTAAATATTACACTGTGCTCAAATGTAATATTATACCTGAAAACATTATTGGAATCATCTCTTGCAATGTGTAAATGCTGAGCTCCAGTCTTGTCATGTGTTAGTTGCACAGATACTAAGAACAGTTCAGGAACAGACAAAACCTAAGGGGGAATTTCAAAAATGACAAATGAACAATCAATGACAAAAAAGGCTTGAAAACATCAGCTTCCAGTTGATCGTTCTCACTGGATAAATCTCTATTCAGCATAATGATATTAAGATAAGAGTCTTTATTCATAGTTGGGTAGTCACAACAAAGGTTTGGCTTTACATACATGACAATGCAACCTATTTAAGATCAAGTACAATTAAATAAAATTAAATAGACACCTATTAATAAAATATCTCTTAAAGCATTCTGTTTTAACAGCAGGTAAAATAAAATCATGTCCGATGTTTCACAAAAATCTCTGTTTCTTAGGGGGTAATAGTTGGTAAAGGGGATGGGAAGGAGTATCTGTGATAGTGTTCCATGATAGCTTACAGCCTTGATTTCTGATAACTTCAGCTATTGCATACAGGTTGTTGGTGTATCCGAATCTGAACGCTCGCTTAAAAAACTTGTCCAAGGCAATCAAGGTATTTACCTTGATATGCCGCTCAAATCTCAATTCCATACAAAAACAGGGAAATGATTAAAAGATCAAATAATTTTGTCAGTTGTTCTTCAGGGTATCCAAAATATTTACAAACACATAAAATGTATAAACGACTACTAGCTATTGGTTTCCCTAACACTGATTCAGTGGGAAAAAAATAATTTGCGATTTTTCAAAACAAAGAAAATTTGAATCATACATGTACCTGAAAATAATTTCTATTATACACAAGTGTACATACAGTGTATGATTGTACATCAATGAAGCATGTATATGTATAAGTTTTTCAAAATTAAAGTAAGGGTCGAAAGCGACATTTAAAAAAATCATTGTGGCTTTAACTCCATCATTCTCATTAAAAATGTACATGAACCATATTTTCCAGATGGCAGTTTGCACTGTTTGTTCAAGTGAAAATAAATTCTTTAAATAATGCCTTCTATGCTTTTTACTACCTTTTTCAATAAAAAGCATTGATGCTGAACATTCTCACTAAGAAAGTTTGAGTTAAAAACTTGGCCAATATCAAAAGAGGTGATTAAACACAATCACTGGAAGTATACCTTGTTAACTGTATAACCATGAATTCTGTCTCCAGGCTTAAACTGACCTGTTCCAGAAATAAAAGAAAGAAGAATATTCTACAGAGAAAACATTCGAGTTACAAGTTACCGAGAATGAAACAAAATCCAGCCTCTACAAAAACCAATGACACGTCGATCAATGATCAAAATTAATGAACTCACCTGCAGAACCCAGCGAGTCATACTTTTCCTTGACTGCACAGAGGTTACGATTCAGGATAGTCCTACAAGTAATTTAAAGTTAGCTTGTCAGGATCAGATTGTTTATTTAAGCAACAGACCACAGTATCTATGGGTTTACCGGCGTGATAACCCACGCAGGATGTTGGGAGAACACGAGAAAAGCTTGTAAATCAAAAGCCGAAGGCGAGTGATTTACAAGCTATTCTTGCATTCTCCCAACATCCCACGTGGGTTATCATGCCGGTAATATATAAAGTGTGGTCTATTGCCTTTATAGAAAAACTTTAAGTTTTCTAAGAGTTTACCGGCACAACAAACCATAGGTTTTTAACCAATCAGAACGCCTGTACTATCTTAGATATTAAATTTTTATAATTGGCAATAAAGTATTCCAGTCCACGAAGCATAACAGAACTGGTTGAGATGCATGTGGGTTCAAGGAGGTGGGAGGGGGGGGGGGGG